ACTGGAGCATTTCTTCTAGTGCAAAACAACAGCCCCAAGACGATGCGGGAACAGAACAGAAACAGACAAGGAGGGGCCAGCAGGCTCAGGCTGCCAGGCCGAGCACCAAGCCTCGCGCATGTGCACACTCTCGATAAAGGGACAGAGCCGAGAGCCGGCCTATCACCCGTGGCGGGGGCTGTCAGGGAGCACCTGAGCAGGACTCACGCTGTTTACTGACAGAAGACCTTCAGAACGGACACGCTAAACATGACAGTTTTTGGTTTTTGAAACAGGGTCTCATTTTGTCGTCCTGGCTGGCCTCGAACTCTCAGTGATCCTCCTGCCTCAACCTCACAAGTGCTGGGATCACAGGTGTGAGTCACCGTGCCCAGCACAGAGATGACAATTTTTTTTTCTCCAGAAAAGCCAACAACCTGACTCACAACCTTTAGTCCTTTCTGGGGAGATGAAGCAGAAAAATGGTAGAGACTCCCTCCGGAAGCAGCTCGACTCCACCTATGGGAGAGCACGGCTCTGGACAACTCAGCCTTTCCAAACCCGAGCTGCATGTCGCTCCCTCAGCTCATCAGCCCCTCTGCCTCTCACCTCTCCGTGACTCACCTGGCGCCCCGCCCGCCCTGGTCCCCGTCAGGTGCCCCCACAGGCCCTGCAGGCAGAATCATGTGACGCGCATCGGCTCCCACTCCGGTAAGAAATAACAAAGCAGCGTCACGCTCCCAAGGCGCAGACTGAGGCCTCGCCCTTCACCGGCTGAGGGACGGTGGGCGAGGTGCCATCCACACGCCTGAGCCGCCATCCTCTTCCCCTCTCCCCTGTTCCAGGATCGACCCCTGCCCACCCCAGGCCTCCTCAGTGTCCTGCTTTCGGGAAGGCAGCCCTCGCGCGCTCCTCCAAAGCGCTGGCCAGCGGAAGACGCCGCTGCGGGTGCGCCAGAGGCGAAGGAAGCCGCGGTGTGGCATTTTCTTGAGTGAGCGGCACAGGAGCAAAGCAAGAGAAGCCCCACACCCACGAGGAGCACTTCGGGGCACGGCACTGGAGGCCCGGAGGACAGACAGGAGTGCTCCTCCCCACTCCCCCCGGGGAGACTGAGGTGAGCACAAGGCCAGCCCGAACTAGAGCCAGACCCTGTCTCAAAAACCAGAAGAAAACAATCAACATCAAATCTCCCCACCCCAAAAAACCCAAAGCCAACACAATACAAACTGTGCCATTTGTGCCTCAAATATTCCATATGCAAATTACACAGTTTGACCCAATCAAAACTGAAATTAACTTTGAAAAGGTGACAGGAAGCTCAGAAGGCGACTCCCCGGTTTTAGCACATCAGTGCTTTCCGTGTCTGCTATTCCTGAGCCCCGACAGACTGTCAAGGGAAATGGAGAGGATTTCCTTTGTTGAAAATGTCAGATACCATTGGTGCCTGAAAGCCCTTAGATTAAAATGGAAGGCCCCCATTTCCCCTTTGTTACATCCCAAACAACTTGTTTGCCTTAAAACGGAGTATGTATCAGCCACTTGATATTTGTCCTTCAAATCTCTCCTTTTTTTCTGGCTTTTTGAGACAAGGTCTATGTAGTCCAGGCTGGCCTCAGCTCAAAGCGATCCTCCTGCCTCAGCCTCCTGAGTGCTGGGACGACAGGTGTGTGTCACCACACTGGACCTCTCTCATCCTATTCAGTTATGAATATATATAATTGAAACCTGCAAATGATACCACTGCCTTAGAGGGCCACTTTGTGCCTAAAATAAAATTCAATTATGACAGATTTGCTGTAAGCTTGGGTTATTACAGAAAAGCACTAAAAAGAAATACATTTCTCTTTTTGTTAATTAGGAAAACATGACAAAAATATGCCAAGTTGGGAATCTAACTCTTCCGTGAACCTGCTGGGTTTGGCCTGTAAGTGTCCCACATTTTTTCCTTCATAAAACAAGGAAGTAAAATGTCTTACCCTTCCAGATCTTTCCTGCAGGCTTGGCTCTATCTTTGAAATGCCTTTGTTGGACCATAAATTATGCACATTATCATGATTCAAGGTACCTAACAATAGGCGTCCTGAGTGAGCCAGTGTCCAGTGAATCCTGCTCTCCTCGCACACCTGCCCCTCCTTCCTCCGGCGGCTGAGTCCCGCTGCTCTTCCTGCCGTCACAATGACCAGAACATGTGTCCTCCCCTCACAGGCCCCTGCTGCGTGATTTCACCTCCTCTCCCAGGGCCGTGAAACACGACTCCTCAGCACTTCTGAGCTTTCTCCAATGCATGACCACCTGGGATCCCACTGTCCCCACCCTCTCCACCTGCCCAGAGGAGGGACCCTGGCCCAACCGTCTCTGAGCTCACAGCTGCCCGAAACCTCCACACCTACGTCCTTTTCATTTTCATTTTCTGTTCTTTTTTTTCTTTTTTGGTACCAGGGATCGAACTTGGGTCCCTGGGCTTGCAAGGCAGGAAGCAGAACCACTGAGCTAAATCCCCGGCCCTCTTCTGTCCTTAATGCTGCTGCTGAGACCATCTCACCTGTTCGGAGCTGACCCGCTCTGCTTTGCAAACCTCTCCCTGCCCTTGATTTCTGAGATGTTCCTACAAATCACAGCCAGACCGGGCCCTGGCATGGACATCTGTTAAAACACAGGCTCTGGTTTGAGAGGCCCTGCGCATCCACTGCCTAAGTCTGATAAAATCTCGAGGATGGTAGGTGTTCAGGGCCCTGGGCTTAGTACTTTGAAGAAGTCTCACCAAGACCAGGGCCCCAGCAGACAGGCAGGACTGTCCACCGTCACCAGGGGGCGCTGTGCCCACCGCTCGAGTCCTGCCCCCGCACATGCTGAGCGCAGTTCCCAGGCTCAGGCTCCACTTGGGAGTCACACGCCAGGCAGGGAGCCAGAGAGATTAGTACTTCCGAGGTAAGTGATGAAAGCAGCTACAGATCTGTACAGAAAATACAACCTCACATACACACATGTGCTTCCTGGCCACGCCCGCCCACAGCCCTAACAGACCTGGCATCTCCAGCTGCTGCCAGCAGCACCCACCAGCCTCTGGCGCTGTCTGCATCCACCTGTACCCCGCGAGGGTTTCTCCTAGGAGCAGACAGCCCCACCTCGGAGTGCTGACTTCTGCCTTCGCAACAAATGGATCCCCCTTTTTTTGTGGTACTGGGATTAAACCCAAGGCCTTTGCCATCTCCAGGCCTTTTTTTAAATTTTGAGACAGAGGCTCACTAAATTACTACACTGCTCTAGCCATGGAACATGGAACCCTCCTGCCTCAGCCTCCCAGAAGGCTGGGATGATAGGTGTGCACCATCACGCCCAGTCTCTCCCTGTTCCAAGGTGAATTAGAGGTCTAAGACTGGGGCAACCACGTGCAGCTGCTGAGGGCAAGAACGCAGCACATTCTCAGAGGAGGATGAGGAGGGACAGCTTCCTCTGCGGGAACTTCCCGTGACCTGCACCATCTTCATCAGTGCACACTTGCGGCCAGCCCTAGGCAGTGCCAGGATAACAAGGCCTCTGAAGCCATGGCCTTCCACCTTGCCCTTCTTTCCTCACACTACCCGGATCCCAGATGTCATGACCCTAAATAGGGAGACCTAGCCAAGTGCACTGGTGAACCCCTGTAATTCCTGCACAGTGGGGCGCTAAGGCAGGAAGAATGAAAGTTTGAGCCCAGCCTGGGCAATTTAGTGACACCCCATCTCAAAATAAAAACAAAAAAGGGCTGGAAGTGTCGCTCAAGGCAAAGGTCCAAAAAATAAATGCCTAGGCTAGGCATGGTGCTGCACGTCTACAATCCCAGCACTTGGGAGGCTGAGGCAGGAGGATTACTGTGAGTTCAAGGCCAGCCTGGGCTACATAGTGAGACCCTATCTCAAAAAAACCCAAAACAAACAAACCAGCAAAAAATAAATGAAAATATGAATAAAATTTAAAGACTTTTTTTGGTACTGAAAATTGAACTCAGGACCTTGCACTTGCCAGGCAGGTGTGGTGCCAATGAGCTACATCCCCAGGAAAATGAATACAATTTTGAAATAATATTTTTTACAAAAGTGCTAAGGCCCCAACCTCAGCCTTAGCCCAGGTGGAATAGGCCGGGCCCAGGGCACAGCACCCCGTCTCACTCCCTCCAAGATGCCACAGCAGCCTGTCCAGAGTTCAGATCCACACCGGCTCACCAGCCGCCTGGGCCACAGGAAGGGTGTGCGGGAGCTCCCACCAGGGGTCCCCTGACCCCTCACTTGCACAGAGCCTTCCCGCTCCTCACGTGCTCTCTCCACTTCTGTGGCACAGTGCTGAGCCGCGCCAATGGACGGCTGAGAAATCCCTAACAGACGGTGACCTGCACGGACCCCGAGGACCCGCTCCCTAGAGGCTGAAGCACGAGGGCCGCAAGGTCAAAGCCAAAACCCTGTCTCAAAATGTGGTTGGGCAGAGTGTGAGCCGTGTGCAGCGCACGGCAGCCGGGCCCTGGGTTCAGTCCCCAGCCCTGAGGGCAACGAGGCAGAGGCCCATGGTGCGGCCCAGGGACAAGGGACATGGGACAGCCTAGGAGAGCACGAGCACCCGAGAGCACGGAGCCCACGTCAGAGCCCCGACTGGACACGCACAGGCCGGCCCGTGGGAGCCCACACAGCGCCACCCGCCTCCCGTCATGACTGCGCCCGCTCCGCACACCTGTTTCTTTCCTGTAAACTACAGGGTAAGGAAGGGCAGGTTGTAAACCACGTGCGAAAGGGACAAACGTGAGACGCTCAGATCTTTGGACCACGCAGATCGAGACCTCTTGATCAACAGCTCCAAGCTTAATAATCGGACACACTGGGCATGAAAAGAAGCCGTGAAAACCGAAGTATAAATACCAGAGTCTCAGGCCTGGCCGAGGTGCCGTCAGGCAGTTGCTCGGGAGAGAAAGTCTGGCTGTGGCTTCGCCTCCCCACACCGCAGCGCAGGGGCCCTCCCGCCAGCCCGCCCAACCCCATCTCTGCCCGTCTTACCGGGATATAATAGATGCCCATCTTGGGGGCCTCGTTGGCAGTGAGGAGCATTCCTACAAACAAACGAGGAGAGAAGTGAGCGTGGGAGAAGCGCCGCTGCCATCCGCTGAGGGTGGAGACCAGGATGACCTCGACACATCCAGCCAAAATATGACCTCAGGCCACGCGTGGTGGCGCACATCTGTCATCCCAGCACTTGGGAGGCTGAGGCAGGAGGATCCCTGAACTGCGCAGTGAGACTCTGTCTCAAGAAAGACAAAATCAAAAGGGCTGGGGATGCAGCTCAGTGTAGAGCGCTGGCGTGGTAAGTGCAAGTCCCTGGGTCCAGTCCCCTTGGACGTTTAGAAGAGAATGAAAAGCTATCAGCTTCACCAATGTACCCACGGCGGGCCGGGCACGGATCCAGGGTAGCCGCTCCATCCAAACCCGGCTCCCCCCTTCACCAGTGCTCTGGATCCACCGACTCCGTCCCACAGGGCCGGGCGGGACCAGACATGGGTCTGGAGCATAGATGTCTCAGCCACGCGCGACGCCTGGGTGCTTCACGGAGGGCGGTGTGAGACCGGGAACGGCGCTGTGAGCGACCCTGCGAGGCAGGACCCTTTCCCCACATTCTGGGCTGCTCTGCCTGAGTGGCACATGCCCGGAGGCTGAGGCAGGAGGGTCACCACAAGTTTAAGGCCAGCCTGAGCTACATAGTGAGTGCGAGGCCAGCCTGGATTACAAGGTAATACCGTGTTCCAAAAGTTTGTTTTTGCAGTCCTAGGGATTAAACCCAGGAGACACTGAGCTACACATATGGCATTTTCCTTTTTATTTTGAAAAAAGGTCTCTAAGTTGCCAAAAGTGTGATCCTCCTGCCTCGGCCTCCTGAGTGGCAGGGATTACAGCTGGGCTCCACGGCACCGGCAATCAGTACTGAACTTCCCGAGCTGGTTCTTCTGCCTGAGCGATGCCCACGCCTCCCTCCCGAGGCCCCCCGGGTTCAGCCACTGGGAGCTTCTCGGCCGCTCCTCCATCTCCACAGGCCCAGCCCGTCTCATGTCACCCTCACAGCCCCTCCTCCGGGTCTCACCCCCACATCCCACTCCCTCCCGGTGCTACTAAAGGGGTGCAGATGCGTTTCTGGGCCCATCCTTCAGGAAGCCAGGACTCTGCACTCCCTCAGCTTCCGGAGGTGCCGCTGCCATCGGCTCCATTACTGTGACCCTGGGAGAGGAAGCCAACACGAGTCTCCGCCACCTCGGGGCTAGGACAACTCAGAGCATCACTTGTGGGGCTCCTACCCAGCCTCACCTTTCCAGTTCTGGGGTCCCCACCCTGCAGCCCCTGCAGGCCCCACCTGCTGCATGAATGTGTGTGGTGCACTGCAGCTCAGCAGCCGGGGCTGGGCCCCCCGTGGGACCCTGTCCCTGCCCGCCCACTCCTGTCCCACCCCGAATGGACGCTGTGTTGAAATCTGAATGGCTGAATGGCGCCCAGCATAGAAAGCACAAAGCCCAGGATCCCACGAGGCGCCTGTTATCTCCATGCACTTGGGCTCCTGTGACCCAAATCCCTAGCCTGGTTTCCACACGCCCTCAGGAATCACACGCGAGCTCCACAGCGCTCCACACCGCCCCACCTCGCATGCCCACAGCAAGTGGTGGGGCTGAGTCACCCGCACCACTTCCTGTCAGCCTCCCAGCGGGGCGGACACCAGGGACTGCCGTGACCAAGCCAAACTGCCCGAAGAGCACAGTGCAGCTCAGACCCCAAACCCGTGGTGAGTGTGGGCCTCAGGGCACACCCTGGCCGCGCGACACACACCTGAGCCAGGGTACAGGCAGACGTCATTGAGGTTGTGTTCCGGCTCCAAGGAGGTAAATATTTTCCCCTAGAATGGGAAGCAGAAATACATGATTAGGGTGGTTAAAAAAGGCAGTGTCCTCTAGAGAGACTGGAGAGAGGACTTAGCTGTCCACTGCCACATACAGAAGTGCAAAAGCACTGCAGAATTTAGAACCGAAGCTGTCCTGTCATTCTAGCACTGGGGAGGCCGAGGCAGGAGGATCACTGCACATTTGAGGCCAGCATGAGGTACAAAGCAAGAACCTGTCTCAAAAAGCAAAACAAAAAAACAAAAACAAACAGGCATGGTGGTGCACACCCGTAGTCCCAGAACTCAGGAGGCTGAGGCAGGAGGATCGCTGCAAGTTCAAGACCAGCCTGGGCTACGTAGTGAGTTGCAGGTCAGTCTCAACTACATAGTGAGACCCTGTCTCAAAAACAAAACAAAACAAACAAACAAAAAACAACCAACCAACCAAACGAACACAAAACGATTTAGAACTGAAAACCTTCAGAGAATGTGATTATGACTGATCAAATGCTCGCAGTTTAGAGGTGAAGAAACCGAGGCCCTGAGAGAAGAGGTGATTTGTGTGAGGGGAAAACCCCAAGTTTTAAACGTGATACCTGAATGGCAGGCAGGGAAAGGGAAGGGTTAGAACACGGCGTGCAGAACTGTGCCTGGGACCCCACCAGCTCAGAGAGGGCGCGGGGGAGAGGAGAGGGTGGGAGGTGCAGGAGGGAACCACATGGCAAAGGCAGAAACGCTGCTATCTCAGGTGTGAAGAGCTCGATGGAATCAGAAAAATGAAGGGCGGCGAAGACAGACAGAAGCGGGTGCAAAGTGGGCTGTGGGGCGACACCTGCAACTGCAGCACTCAGGAGGCTGAGGCAGGAGAAGCGTGAGGCCTAGGCCAGCCTGGACTTGTCCGAAGAGAAAAGGGTGTGGGACGGATAGAGAAAGGCAAAGAGAAAGATAAACAAGTCAGGCAAGAGAGCAAGTCCTGCAAACTGAGTAATGTGGGTGTCAGTCTGGAGGAAGCATTTAGTCATGAGAAACATGACTGCAGCATCTGGGAGTCATCGCCAAAGCCTCGGGGAGCTCTGGGCAGAGGGGCGCAGGGAGCAGAGCCGGGGATGGAGTGGGCTGTGCGCTCAGAGACCCCGCCCAGCTCTCATTCCACACAGCCACAGCACGCAGCCACCACTCTCCTTCCCACGTTCCTGGCAAGAGCATGAGGCCGTAAGAGCATGGGACAAAAGGGAAAAGAACGGACACAAGTTATTGCCTGCAGTCCCAGCACTCGGGAGGCTGAGGCAGGAGGATCGCCAAGACTTCAAGGCCAGCTTGGGCTACACAGCCAGACTGTGTCTTCACAAAAAAAGATGTTGTTTCTAATTAAAGATAAACAATTCTTAAAAGCATTGTTATACTGGATCCATTTTTCCAATATACTGGAAGAACTATTCTCAAAATATTTAAGTTTCAAAATAAAAAACGAAAAGCAGGTAGACTAAAATCAGAAATACAGAATTTTGTTTAAAAAATCACTTGAGGAGTTGAGAAGAGGGAATGCCACAATGTTCTTAAGAAAATACTGTTTTTATTTTTATTTAGGGCTGGGGATTTAGCTCAGTGGTTCCACCACCTGCCTCGCAAGCTCAAGGTCCTGAGTTCAATCTCTGGTACTTAAAAAAAAAAAAAAAAGTACCGGTCATTTATTTATTTATTTATTTGAGATAGGGTCTCACTGTGTAGTTCAGGCTGGACTTACACTCACTGTGCAGCCCAGGCTGGCCTTGAATTCATGGCAATTCTCCTGCCTCAGCCTCCTGAGTACTGAGATTACAGGCGTGTGCCAACATACCCAGCTATGTTTTTAAAGAAGTAACCGCAAAACTGTCATCTCTGATGTCCACTTCTTCGAGCAGGGAAGATGTAGGACGTAGGATGACACTGCGAGGAAGGAGGCTGTAGTTCTTGAAGACTTTCCTAGGTCTGGGAGAGCCCCAGCTCGCTAGAGATATGTCCTTAAGGATGGATTTTTTACTGAAACAAGGTTTTGCTATGCAGCACAAGCTGACCTTTAATCTGCAATCCTCCTGCCTCAGCCTCCTGAGTGCTGCGATTACAGGCGTGAACCACATATGCTCCAAGGCCCAACTCAGGGAGAGACTTTTTAAACAATGATCGTTTTTCTTTACCTGACTCAGCATCAAAAGTAAAAGCCAATGTTAGCAAGGCAGAAAACCTCTGAACAGGAAGAACTCCATCTTGACTTTGTAAATACGTTTTTTATCCTGAGTAACTGACTTCCTCTTCCAAATTCCCAAATGGCTACTGGGATCTCTTTCAAGAACTCACATCTCTATCTCTCTCTCTCTCTCTCTCTCTCTCTCTCTCTCTCTCTTTCTCTCTCCCACCCCGATCTTTATTCACACACACACACACACACACACACACACACACACACACACACACACGGAATAAAAGGAACATTAGGGACATGTGCAAATAAAAAAGGAAGTGGGCCAGAGATTTAGCTCAGCGGTTCGGTGACCTGCCTTGCAAGGGCAAGGACGCGAGTTCAATCCTTGGTACCAAAAAAAGAAAGTAATTTCAACAAAAGACACCTACTGAGTTCTTATTCCACATTTTGATGATGCGCGAGTCTGCCGACAAAATCAAATCTAAAGTGTCCTGGAAGTGGATGGACTTGATGGGCAGCCCATACTGGTGATCCTTCACTAGCAGTGGCTTACTGGATCGAAGGTCATATAATAAAACCTGAGAGAAAAACACGAGTTACTTTGCTGAAACAAAACATTCTCCCTTAAAAGTACGAAGAGTGGCTTCCAAGTGTTTTATTTTTGTTTTTGTTTAGCCCAGGCTGGCCTCAAACTCACTGCAACCCTCCTGCCTCAGCCTCCCCAGTGCTGCGATTACAGGTGTGGGCTACCATGCCTGGCAGTTTCATTAATTTCTGGTTGGTTGTGTTTTGGTCCTGGTCCTGCCCCTTCAATGGGGAGCAGTCAGGCAGGCCTCCTGTGGCTGAGCTAAATTCTAGTCCTTCATTTACCTTTTTTTTTTTTTTTTTTTTTTTTTTTTTTTTTTTTTTTTGTTTTTTGAAACAGAGTCTATGTAGTTGAGACTGACCTGGAACTCATTATGTAGCCCAGGCTGGTCTCAAACTCACAGCAATCCTCCTGCCTCAGCCTCCTGAGTGCTGGGATTACAGGCGTGCCCCACCACACCCAGCTCCTTCATTCACTATTTTTCTTGGGGTGGGGGTACTGGGGATCAAACTCGGGACCAAAAAAAGGAAAAAGAACCACTGAGCTAAATCCCTGAACACAATGACAGCCCTTAGAGCAGCAGCGTCCTGAAGTCAGATGGCTACACTAAGCAATATTTTTCCTTCACAGCGCCTGGGTTTACAAATGCAAGCCTCAGAGTAATTTCTGGCACACTAGATTTGCACACAAGGAAAGGCACTAACGGGAAGCGCGCAGGGACATTTCCTGCAGTGTGGGACAGTGCCCAAGCCTGAGCCTGTGGCTGCTCTGCCTGAGCTGCTCCCATCCTCCATCTATGAACGCAACCCAAGCTTGGAGGGCAGCATGGGACCAGTCCCGGCAGACCCAAGCCAGTCCAGGAGAAGGGGACTCTTCTGCCTGCCATTAGTCTACTAGAGATGCATCTCAGACCTCTCCAGGGTCGGGCAAATTCCTGAGCCCGCAGGACCTGCCTTCCTTGGGGAGAAGGAATCCCAGTGGACACGCGTGCTGCTGTGGGCTCTGGGATGTGCTCTGCCTGCCGAGATCTCGCATAAGCAGGGGCCCCACGGCAGCTCCCCACTCCCAGGGCCCCGGGCTTCCCACCCCTGGCCACCCACATGAGCCCGCCTGGCCACGCACCTGCCCTGTGGATGTGCCCACCGCCATGGTGAGGGCGCCACTGAATTGCAGAGCAGAGATAGTTGGCAGGCTGCTGACCCTGAAAAGCAGGCGGGGGGCGCAGGGGCCGAGGTCAGCCCTGACCCCCACTGTCCCACAGGGAAAGCAGCCTGCTTCATCTGGAGGGTAACTGATCCCAACCTTCACAGATCCATAGTCTGCAAGTGTGATCCGCCTGCGGCTCCCGGGAAGAGGACTCTGCGGAAACACTCCCGCTCTCACTCGGAGGGAACAGGTTGCTGGGACCACGCTCGCTCCTCCCCTAACGGCCCACAGCCACAGCCCGGGGTGGAGCACACGCCTGTCATCCCAGCACTTGAGGCTGAGGCAGGAGGATCACTGGGAGTTAGAAAGAAAAGGCCAGGGCAAGGAGAGAGGAGGGGAGGAGCAGAGCGGAGTACTCTGTAGTACTTTAGCAGGAAACTCCATCTGTCTCGCTCTCTGTCAGCTTTTATGAGAGGACTCTTTCATAGAATAAACACAAGACACTACAACTGCAGACCTAAGTCTTCAAAGTTTCACCCTTTGGCAATGCACTTTAACTTCCTGTCGGTCCGCCGGTAAGCCTCGCTGACAAAGTCACACCCGCCAGCTCCTACTCACTCTGAATCTGCCGTGACGCTGCTCAGGGCACAGTCCAGCAGGCCAACTCTGCTCCGGGCTCTTGGGTCCCAGCACTCCACTCGGCCCTGTGCAAACGAAGAGCCAGTCATTCATTCACCGAGACGGCCTTGCCACACACGATCCTCCTGCCTCAGCTTTCCCAGTAGCTGGGAACACTGCTTAAGTGTTCATTTTCAGGAAATACTTGGGGATGAAATATCTGAATATGCAGGCTTTTTCTTTCTTTGTTTTTTTTTTTTCTGGTATTGGGGATGAAACTCAGAACTCAGCAAGGTGGGTGAGGCGCCACTGAGCTAAATCCCCAGCCTCTATGCTTTATTTTCAAATGGTTCAAAAACATCCTTTCAATATACATAAATCTTTATAGAACAAAAGGGCAAAATGTTTATAAGTGATTACTGACGTAATTAATGAACCTAATAGATGTATAGCTATATCATTAAAAAAATTATCTCGGGATATTTTTGCTATGAGACAGACTCGCTATGTAGTCCACGCTGGCCTCGAACTCACTATATACCCAGGCTGGCCTGGAAGTTGTGGTGATCCTCCTGCCTCAGCCTCTTGAGTGCTGAGATTACAAGCCTGCACCACCACGCCCAGCATATATCATTCTTTTTGATGGCCAAAGTTCTGTTTACTAGCCAGGTATGGTGGCACACACCTGTAGTCCAGCACTCAGGAGGCTGAGGCAAGAGGATCACTATGAGTTGGAGTGGAAAATTCCACACTGTGAAATGTGACTTCATGCACAAAACTGTTAAAAATTACTGTCTAAATTAAGCTTGGGATAAATTCCCTACAATGAGTGTCATCGACGTGTATGCCTAAAGTATACCAATAAATGTTTCGCTGTAAGAACATATTAACCTCAGGTGTGTACCTGAGCTATCTGTGGAACGCATCTGAACTCTGCTTGGGCTTGCGTTCCACCGAGACGCCTGTTCTGCGTGCAGAGTCACACGCGGAGACTTCACGCTGAAGTGCGTCGCTCCGAGCACTGGGACGGGGTGACTCAGCCTACCGGGTTAGCGATTTGCCTTTTGCAGACAGGGCTGCTCCGCACCGCAGACTGTGGGAGCACAGGCCTGTCCCTCCCCGCCGGCTCCAGCTCCGCCTTTCAGTGGAGACTGCACTGCGAGCGCGTGTGGAGCAGAGATTTCACAGACGACGCCAACCCGTGCTTACCTCTATCGTTCCTGTGGCGAGCAGGCCGTGCACGGCGTTTATGTCGCAGACATTGTTCTCCCTGAGACAGTGAAGCAGTGGTCAGCGGGAGGGACCGCAGGAATCAGGACCTGTGGGGTCCGCGTCCCGCCCCAGCGCCCCAGGGGCGCGTGACCGCCCTCCTGCTCAAGGAGTTAGCACCGCGCCTGCGGGGAGAGCAGCTCGGGAAGCTTCTCAACAGTCACTCGAGCCCAGGGGACGGAGGGGCCACAAGCAGCAGACCTGGAGGGGTTCAGTGCCTGGTCACAGTCACCAGTGTTTCTGACCCCAGGGTGACAGGTGACCTGCCAGGGGTAAGCACAGCAGGCCGCTGCTTCTGAACTACAAGTCTGCCTGGAGAAGAGAGCCTCACTCTAGCTCTTCCAGGCAAATGGACACTCTTCAGAAAGCAGGCTGTCACCATGGCAGCCCAGGCCTGGGCCCTCACCCGGCTACCACCACGGCAACCTTGGTCTGGGGACCTTCACTCCACCTCCTTGCCTTCTCTGTAAAGGGGGTTTCACCTACCTCCTTGGACTGTGTGAGGATTAAATGGAAAAAACGTCAAGTGGCCAGCAGTGTCCACACGACAAAGGACACTGGACAAGTACCAGCTGTTACTACGAACAGGAAGTCAAGCAGCAGAGCGATGACTCTGTCATGTGATAATGCACTATGATACCACAATTTTTTTTTTCTTAAAAACATTGCAGGCCAATGTGGAACAAAAATATACTTTTTTTTTGTACTGGGAATTGAACTCAGGTCCTTGCGCTTGTGAGGCAAGCAGTGGAACCACTGAGCTAAATCCCTGGCCCCCACTTTTTTTTTGGTACTGGGGAGCGAACTCAGGATCATGTGCTTGCCAGGCAGGTGCTGTGCCACTGAGCTACATCCCCAGTCCGAACAAAAATATATTTAAGGTTTACTTGGTTTTATATCGTGACCTGTGCTTCTAATCTTTAAATATTCTCCAAGCAGAGGGAAGGAGGCAGAGGGAGGGGGGTGTAAAAAGAAGTCGTGTTATGAGCATAGCACCATCTCCCCACAAGGAATGTGATCGCTATGTGCTGCGAACAGATTCATAATAAAAGTTGAGATTAAAAAATGTATTTCTTGATTCATTTATTCATATACTGCAAATCCAAGGCTGCTGTCACAGAGCTACACCCGCTGCCCTGTTCAAGGAAGATGGGGGGTGCCAGGTGCTCTTTAAAACCAAGCTGCACAAGCGCCCTGCCCGATCCACAGGCACCCACGCCCCCTGCTGGCCAAGAGAAACACTGCAAGGCACCCACACACTCACGCGGCGTCTGTCTGCAAGGGGTTCAGGTACCGGCCTTGTTCCAGGTTTAATCTGTAAACTTCAGAGCTGCAAAATAACAAAGCAAGCTAAACGCCTGCGAAACGGCGATCAACTTTTAAGTACATATTTTCATACATATAAATATCACTCATAATCTACCTCCTTTGGTAAAACTGATAAAAAAACATCTGTTCTAACCCTAAAATATATTCACCTCATTCAGTAACCTTCATCTGGAAAAGTTAAGCCACCAAGGAAAGATTAGGAAGTCATTAAGGAGACTGAACATTCAAAAGTACTCATAAAGTACTGAATACGAAGAAGGGCTGGGGATGTAGCTCAGAGGCACCACAACTGCCTGGCAAGCACAAGAGCCTGAGTTTGATCCCCGGTATCGCAAAAAAAGGAGGGGTGGGGGATATGAACATAAGACTAAAAAGCAACACAATAAAATACCTATACGGTTTCCTCTGGGTGACATAACCACAAGTAATTTTTTTAACTTTTCTGTATTTTCCCAATTTTCTAAAATAGATAACACATAGTTTTTATATTTACAAAAAGGTAGCGCTTAAGAATAAAGTTCTACACTTCAGGACATAGGAGTAGGCAAAGACTTCATGAACAAAACCCAGACCGTGTGGGAAATATGACAAAATCAACAACTGGAACCTCATCTTATTAAAAAGCTTTTGCACAAGAGAATCCACCAACGGAGTGAAGAGACAACCCACAGAGAGAGAAAACATTTTACCAGTCATTCATAAGAAAAAGGACTACTATCTAGAATATATAGAGAACTAAAAAAAAAAAAAAGCAATCAGATTCTTCAAATTTAAAGACCCATAACAAAAATGGGCATCTGAAATAAAAAGACACCTCTCAATACAGAATTAGAAACAGCAAATAAATAGATGAAAAAATGTTCCACATCACTGGTCATCCGAGAGATGCAAATAAAAACAACGCTGAGATTCCACCTCACCCCACAAAGAATGGCTGCTGTCATGAAAATTAGCCAATAACAAATGTTGGCGGGGCTGTGGGGGAAAAGGAACCCTTGTCCACTGCTGTGGGAGTGCAGACTGGTGCAACCACTGCGGAAATCAGTGTGTGGAAACTAGAGGTCCCATTGGACCCGGCCATACCTCTTCTCGGTATCATCCCCAAAGAATTAAAATCATCATAGCATAGTAATACATGCACACCTATGTTCAGAGCAGCACAGTGTGCAACAGCTAAATGTCGGAAACAGCCCAAATGCCCATCAGCTGATGAGTGGATAAAGAATTTGTGGGTTTTTATACAGTGCAGTACTACTCTGCCATAAAGCAGGGTGAGCTTCAGACATCTAAAGCCGACTGGATGGACCTGGAGACCACTCTTAAGTGAAATGAATCAAGACACGCGCATGTAAACACCGCACTGTTCCTCTGGTGTGAGAAACGTGGAAATAAGGACTGAGCTGTATGGTGGGTGTGGGAAATGGGAAGAAAGCGTTCAGATGGGAGAGGGAACAGGGGGAGGGAGGGGGAAAGGAAGGGACAAGGGAAAAGTGGAAACAAAGCTTTGGTACATAGGGAAGGGAGGCGGCTGGAGGGATACAATAAAATAAAGTTCTGGAATCCTAGGAGACAGAGCCAAGAGAGTGGCTTCCCTAACAGTTCACCCGCTGTGCCCTGCCCAGGCGGCTCCCTCAGCAGAGGGCAAGGGCGGAGCCCTGAGTGACCCTGCACTCCGCCGCAATGCAACTCCTAGGCAGGAATAAGGTCTCATGTTTTTAGGGTCCTCTCAAAAAAATTTTTTTTCACTTTTGCTTTTTGTTAATCAGTTTGTTCAGTTTTGTTTTGTTTTCAGTACCGGGGATTGAACTCAGGACCTTGTGCTTGCAAGGCAGACAGTGGAACCACTGAACTAAATCCCCAGCCCTGCTCGCTGTGTGTGTGTGTGTGTGTGTGTGTGTGGTACTGAGAGAACTCTGGGGTGTTTTGCCTTGGAGCTACATTCCCAACCCTTTTTTATGTTTTACTTTGAGACAAGGTCTTCCTAAGTTCCCCAGCCTGGCCTCCAACTTGCAATCCTCCTGTCTCAGCCTCCTCAGTGGCTGCAATTAGAGCCTCATGCCTATTCTACCTGACAGTTCCACTGAAATACCCCGAGCAGTGATCAGCATCTATGCTGAGACCATTGTGAAGCTATACTCACATTAACCTTTAAGTTAAACGGTCACCTGTGTCCACAATGAAACGCCACGAGACACAGCCACACAGCCCAACACCGCTCCTTCATGATCTCAGGGCTACTCTACAGCACCCGGCCCAAATGTCCCTTAACCACCATCCATAACGACAAAGGACCCAATTACAAAGTGGTCCTGATAGAAACTCATCATTGAGTTAGGTGTGGTGCTGCCCACCTATTATCCCAGCACTCAGGAGGCTGAGGCAGGAGAATCGCTGAAAGTATGAGACCAGCCTGGGCTACAAAGTGAGTTCAAGGCCAGCTGGGCTACATGAGGAGACCATCTCAAAAAACACAAAAATATAACAAAAAAAATTATCACCGATACTGAACAAACGTAAAGCAGAAGCTATAATTTTTAAGGAAACAGAAATCAAAACGAAAAGAAAAACAATGCTGTCTCACACAGTGAAACATGTGGGCTGTACTCAGCAGGCTCATGTATTTTCTATCAGTTTAGCTACTGTGACGTGTAATTATTGTAAGCATTTTTAACGTTAGAAAATATTTTAGTAGGCAGAATAACAGGTGGTAAAGTAACATTAAGCCACTTGTAAATCCAGGGCATTAACACGTAGAGCTGGAATTTTTTCTTGTTGATATTTATCCCTTGTTTTCTAAAACTGCTTTTTCTTTTCTTTGTTTTTGCAATAACCACATACACTTTATCAAGGCTAAATAAACAGAACAAGTACACAAGAAATTTAGGGAGAGAAAGTGGTTACGTGGGAGGAGGAAAGAAGGGAGCAGAGCCTCGGCCCCGATACCTTGCACCGACGAAGTACAGGTCGCAGGACGGGTAGTGGTAGGAGAAATCCCTTCCGAACTTGGGTATTCTGGTTTTGTAATAAAAGCCTGATTGCGAGTGAAATTCAATGTACCGATCGTTATGCAAGAAGACAATCTGCAAATAAAACAAAAGAGTAGGCCTGCTCAGGTGTCTAGGTGAAGAGTTTATTTCACTGTCACCAAAAGGGCGAGGGGAGGGGCACTGTCTGTGTCTCCTCCGCTCCCTGACCCTGCGCACACGCGCTCCCCACGGTGCGAGGAACCCACACGCTATGTGGGTCCCATGGGCCTGCAGGGCCCTGACAGCTCCCTGACGCCTCTGCTTCTCAATAAAGGAAGTGAAACAAACACTGCCAGGTTTCCTGTATCAGCATTTGTAACACGGATCCCTGCACAGCGAGCACAGAGGACTTCCTACGCCACTTAGGGACACATTTCACTAATCCTGCAGTTACCACACAGCTTGATAAGCTCTGTATGAATGTAAACTGGGCACAGTGGTGGACACCTGGCATCCTGCCACTCTAGCAGGCTGAGGCAGGAGGATCCAAAGTTCCAGCCCAGCCTGGGTAATTTAGTGAGAACCTGTCTCCAAATAAAAATTAGAATTAAATAAAGGCTGGCAGTGTAGCTCAATAGGAAGGCCCGGGCTTCAACCCCCAGTACTAAAAAAACAAAAAATTAACTTTAATGTACTACAAAGGTATCTGAAAAATATACATATAGTATCTAAATGCAAATTGATCAATAATTATAGAAAACATATTATAAAATTGCATGTCCCAAAACACATAATAGCTACAGTAGACAAAAGGCTAAAGTGTACCTCAGTTTCCAGAACTGAAGAGAGTATGTAAAGTCACAGGAGCTCAGAAAATTCAATTTCCTTCAAGATGACATTTGAGAGCACCAAAATAAATTGTTTTATTACATTTATATTCATGGTACATAAAGATATAAAAATTGTACTTATTCGTGATCACAAATGATGTTGCATAAAAATTTTTCATTTTAAATTTAATACTGCCAATTTTATTTTATTTTATTTATTTATTTATTTATTTTGAGACAAAGTCTCACTGTGCAGTTGAGACTGACCTGGAACTCACTATGTAGCCCAGGCTGGTCTTGAACTCACAGTGATTCTCCTGCCTCAGCCTCCCCAGTGCTAAGATTACAGGTGTGCGCTACTATGCCCGGATATACTGCCAATTTTATAAGTGTTAAAAATGACCACCATTTATAAGTGTTAATAATGTTAAAAAGAGGGCTGAGGATTTAGCTCAGTGGTGCCACCTGCCTCCCAAGCACAAGGTCCTGAGTTTGAACCCTGGTACAAAAAAAAATGACCACGTAAGAATTAAAAGATGGAAAATCTTGAAGAAAAAGAAGAATCTATGTAGCTGTGTTCTGACTGCATCCAAATATGGGATGGATTGAGAAAATTAACACCTAACCCCATTAGTTTACTTTTCACCTGTGAGTAAGAAAATGCAAACGGCCTGGCAAATAAGCTTCGGTTAAATTCAATAATCAGATTATAAATCTAGAATATAAAGCATCTTAAGAGCTGGGTATAATGGCACATACCTGTAATCCCAGCACTCAGGAGGCAGAGGCAGGAGGATCGCCAAAAGTCTGAGGCCAGCCTGAGCTACATAGTAAGTTCAAGATCAGGCTGAACTACATAAGGAGATCCTGTCTCAATAAAAAAAGGGCCAGGGGGCTGGAGATTTAGCTCAGTGGTTCTGGCGCCTGCCTTGCAAGCACAAGGACCTGAGTTCAATCCCCAGTACTAAAAAAAAAAAAAAAAAAAAGGGCCAGGGATTTAGCCTAGTGGTTCTGCCGCCACCTGCCTCAGAAGCACATGGTCCCAAGTTTGGTCCCCAATACACAAAAAAAAAGATCTCAAATGATATAATTGAACTTTATGTTTTTCATATTTTCTGTATTAGAATACTTAACCACTTGATAACGCAAAAAGTTTTAAATTTCTATGGAAAGTAACAGTTGTGTATGTCCACTCTATACTGAAAACCTAATAAAAAACATTGAGATTACAGGCTGGGGATTTAGCTCAGTGGTTCCTACACCTGCCTTGCAAGCGCAAGGACCAGAGTTCGATCCCCAGTACCAAAAAAAAAAAAAAAAAAAAATTTTTTGAGATTACAACACAAGGATACAAGAGAATTTAGAAAGAGGAAATAGTGAGATTCCAATCCACACAAATTTGTGCATTTCTAATAAGTCAAAATTTTCAAATTAAGAAAATTAATTAATTTTGCCTTATAATTAACTGTTTTACAGATGTAATACAATGCAGCACTGTTAGAATGAGTTGCTAATTTATTAAGAGTAAGCTCAAAAAGTTAAAACTATTTTTTAATTTACAGAGTCTTTTTCGTCCAACCTGACAGTTACAACCATCATGTTTCTTTCATTATTTGTTTAAAAATAAAAACCAGGAAAAAAATACAAATCAGAAATAAAGGCAATGTTACTTGCGTAAATGGAATTGTTTGATTCTGCAAATTTCAGAGAATAGATAGATAATCCCATTATCCTAATATTCTCTGAGTGAAGAAAATCAAATTTCAATTTATGATGACTTAAAATCCTAGTGCCAGGCCTCAAAGCAATAGGAGGAACAGTCATCAAAGCAGAGAACTAGGCCAGGCGTGGCGGCTCACACCTTTAATCCCAGCACTTGGGAGGCTGAGGCAGGAGGATTGCTGTGAGTTTGAGATCAGCCTGGGCTATGCAGTGAGTTCCAGAGGTCAGTCTCAACTATGTAGTGAGACCCTGTCTCAAACAACCAATAAAAAAACAAAAACAAAAACGCAGAACTAATTTTGACACTAGGCTGACCACAGTCTGTCCCTACATTTGCTATTTTTGTTTTTTGTTGTTTGAGACAGTCTCACCAAGTGGGTCCAGACTGGCCTTGAACTTCTGGTGATCGTCCTACCTCAACTGCCCAAGGGCTCAGATTACGGGTGTATGCCAGCAGGCCCAGCCTCTGTGAGGGCTGTTTTAAGACTTTATATAGCACACCGATGGTGAACCTTTTAGAGACAATCCACTTATTCATCGCAGAGTGCCAACACTGCAATTAAACCTGAGTACTGAGGTTTTAATTTAGAAATAACTCTAACATCTCTTGTGTTAAAAGAAAAAGCAAATAACACGCATGCCATAGGTTCGCCACCACTGCTATGCAGCATACATGTACCGAACTAAAAATATGTTAATAGGACTTTGATCCCTGGTACCACGAAAAAAAAAGTATATTAATAGAAAATTTTCTACTACTACAGACATTTTTAGATTAACAACAGAAACATTACACAATTCTCACTGGAAAATAAATTCCACTCACTCATTCCTTGAATATAGCCAGGAGAAACCATGCTATGAAACATACCTTTGAATAATCATCAGATAAAATATCAAAGGTGACAACTGAAAAATAGAAAAAAATAAAATCATCAGTGTTCATAATGAAAATATAAATGATGCAGTTTCTAATTCAGCACAGATGTTATACACAAATAGCACTTTTTCTACCCCTACATGAAACAAGAGTGAAACTGCCACATTGCCCCAAAAAATGCCAAAAGGAAAACGAAAGGCTTTACAGTCTCTCAATGTGCATCATCTGGAACCGAACTGAGGCAAATTCACAAAAGGTGTTCCAGACTCAAAAGTACATTAAAGAACATTTTTGTTAAAAAGTTGCTTAAAAGATAACAGGCTCTCCCTCTCCCTCTCCCTCTCTCTCACACCCACACACACATTTTCGTGCCTATTTTTAAAGTAGAGGGCTTCGCTGTGCTATCCCCGCATGTGTATATTCGGATCACTTTTTACCCAGACAAAACTCAGGAGCAGAAACAGCTGGTGATGGGGCACACAGGCTTCCCACCATCCTCAAACCCAAAGGGTGAAGCAGTTAGAAGAACGTGGTTAACCTTCCACAGAACGCATGTCCCACTGCGTGTCTTCCCTCAGTCTCCAACACTAGGACCCCAAAAGGTTAAACTTTCTCACTTTTTATTTTACTTTACTTGGTACCGGGGATTGAACTCAGGCCTGGCAGGCAGCGGAACCACTGAGCCAAATCCCCAGCCCAACCTTTTTCACTTTAACTTGCTGTGACTTTTACCTTTCAACTTGATCGACTTAGGAGCCACACAGGATGGGTGCAGCTCACTCCTGGGAGTGTCTGGTGGTCATGGAGGGTGACCTGGGGTCTGTGTCTGGCCCCTGCCCCTTCCTCTCTGGCACTGCTCCCTGCTCTGCTTCCCGGCCTCCATGAACTGAGCGGCTCTGCTCCCCACACCCTTCCGCCATGATGCTCCTGCCTCAGAGCAGCGGACCATGGACTGAATCCCCTGAAACCGTGAGCCAGACCCACCCTGTCCTCTGCTAAGATGAGGTGTCCTCCTTCACAAAGAACCTAACTAGTACACCTATCCAATGTGCTAGGGAGAATTCTGAGAATGACCCCCTAGTGACCTTCACCCCAGGGACTGACCCCTACCTCCTGAGAGCACAGGTGGAACCTGGGATTTGCCGAGACCTCTCCTGTGGTGACATCACATTTACTTTCACATGAGCCCCTTCACAAAGTCTTATCCCACTGGCAGCAGAGCAGGAAGTTGGGGAGATCAGAAACACTAGGAGGGTCCACTGGGCAGCTGCTGGCATGGTGGGGGAGGTGGCCACATGACAAGGAGTGTGGGCAGCCTCTATGGGCCAAGGAGGTCATTGGGTGGTCAGCATGAGATGTGACCCCCGTCCCATAGCTGAGGGACGCCAACAACCTAAAAGGGTACGGAAGCAGACTTTCACCGAGGCCCTGCGGCTGCCACCCTCAAGTCTCTCAGCAGACACAGCTGGGCCACCAAGGACTTCTGGTCTGTGGAACAATGAGCTGCTGAGGGGAGGCTTTATTTACTTATCTGTGTATTTATTTTCTCGTACCAGGGACTGATCTCAGGACCTTCTATTTTCAAGGCAGGCATGGTCCACCGAGCTAAATCCCCGACCCGAGAGGATTTAAGCCATGTGTTGGTGCTCATTTGTTAGACGACAATGGAAAAGCAATAAACAATCCAGACTCATTTTCAAAAGCAGAAAAGCAAACAAACCGAAAAAGCGCTTTGTGTGACTTCAAAATTAGCCTCTTACCTTCTGAATCTAAACATCTTTCAAATTTCAAGGATAACTGGTAGGTGTCATAACATCGAACCCGAGGTTTGTATGTTCCTATAAAAAAAATGAACATCATGTAAAACCCAAGGACACACTTTTCATGGCCAACACCCTGCAGAGTGCCAAGTGTGGCTTCCGTTCAGAGCCAGGCAGGACTGGCCATGTCCTAATCATTGGAAAGGATTGAAAAGCAGCACCTCCCAAACATCCCACAGGAAATGGGCAAAGGGTAAGTGAGGCATTGGAAAACAAATGACAGATAAGCTCCACAAACAACCTAACAAGAGTAGATTAAAACTGAAATTGTTTTTGCCCATCAGAATGGCAAAGGTGAGCTGGGTGTGGTGGCACACGCCTGTGTTACTAGCACATAAGAGGCTGAGGCAAACTGAGAGTTTGAGGCCAGCCTGGGCTATACAGAGAGTTTAAGGCCAACGTGAATTAGACCGTCTCAAAAAAAAAATCAACCAAAAAGAAAAAAAAAGGGTGACAGAAAGTGACCCTCACCCCCGCCACAGTCCCTGCTAGCAAGTGCGTGTACACGGCAGCTGGGAAGACGCCTACCTGTGGCAAGGATGTACTGCCCGTCCTTGGACACCTTCATCGTGGTGCAGACAGTCGGCATCTCAAAGTCCTGGATGAGTTCAATCCTCCTGCGGACGTCTGCAGAGAGAGAAGAGGCCAGCTGAACCGCATGGCTTGTCTGTCCTAGGAGGCCAGAGCCTGCCTGGCTGGTGGCCACCACGGCTACGAACAAGAATCGTGTGTCCCACGGCTCCTGGGCCACCCGCTGGTCAGATGGCAGCTCTTTCCCTCAGCCCCACATTCGTTTCCGTTGCTACTGCTCTACTTGGGTCTGCAGTGTCCCCAAAGGCCCATGCGGAGACCTAAGAGGCCGGGCCTCCGGAAGGTCTCAGGCCCCTGGAGGGGACCGAGTGACACTGGTCCCCCGAGGCCACGATACTGCCTCCAAAAGTGGGCCCAAAAGTGACAGGCTGTTTGACCACAGATGAACCTCTCAATACCTGAGACCAAGTGAACCTTCCCTCTCTGTGAGTCATTGTCTCAAGTATTTTGTTATTGTAATGGAAAAGTGACACATTGTATTTCATTTCTACTTTTCAAAAAGCAAAAGTACAATCAACTGAAAAAAATCCAAAACAATGTATCATACATATAATGTAAGAGTATTTAAGACCTCCTGGAAGAACAGGAGAAACACTAAACCACTGAAGACACTCAATCACAGCTATAACGAAAGTCTTCATTTCCTTTCTTCCTAAATAACAGCAGGCGTAAGCCTCCACTGATATGAGAAATGGGGGCCAGGTGTGGTGGTGCACACCTGTAATACCAGCTAGCTGGGTGGATGAGGCAGGAGGGTCACAATTTGGAGCCCAACCTGGGCAACTCAGGGAGAACCTGTCTCCCTGGCACCCGATCGCCAGCAGCACAGAAAGGAGGAAAACAGGCCAAACGTCCACTTCCCACTCGGTAATCCCACTGCATATTGGTAACTTCTCACTCCTGCACTGACAAGCACCAGGAGAGACCGTGCGGAGAATTTCACACTCACCGACATCTTTCTTCTGCAACGCTCTCTTCTTCCTGTCTGAAAGCCACTGAAGGAAAACAGAGACGTCATTTTAAAACAAATTTACATAAATTGTTTTTTGCTTTGAAAAATAACACGGGCTTGTATTAGAAAATTCAAGTCTGATGGGAATACATAACAAAGAAAGTGAAAATCTTCGGTCCTCTAACCCCTACTGCTGATGGATTTTCTGGACTTTGCTTTTATGTACTTACAGAATTGAATGGCAAATTTCTCGAATTCCTGTGTTCTATGTGAGAGACAATGAATTCACCAAGCTAAGAAGAGCAGTAAACCTCAAATATGGGGACAACTGCACTATTCATTGTTCATCAAATTTTTTATTTTTGGTGCTGGGGATTGAACTTCAGACCTTGTGCTTGTGAGGCAGGCGGTGGCACCAATGAGCTAAATCCCCAGCCCTGTTCATCAAATTTTATTTTATTTCATTTTATTTTTTTTGATGGGTTATTTCCACTGCATAGTGTCAACGCTGATTGATTTTTTGTTACTTTTATCAGTACATGTTTGTAGTACATACTGATCACATTCATTGTGAGGAATCGGTACATGTGTTTAACACAGCTTGGTTCTCTTTATGTCCCCTTTCCACTTCTCCTTCTGCCTCTTCCCATATCTTGGTATGTTCATCAAATTTTAAAGGTAGAACGTTTAAGATACATTTTATTTTCTTTTGTTTTGTTTCTTTGAGACAGGGTTTCACTATGTAGCCCATGGACTCATGGTGATCCTCCTGCCTCGGCCTCCCAAGTGCTGAGTCTACAAGTGCATGCCACCTCAACCAGCAAGATGCATTTTTTATAAGGAGTAAAACCAGATAAACTGTTAACAGTGGGCAATAAAGACACAGTACAGCTATACTCACGGATACCGAGTTTATTCTGTACCCCAGCCTGGCAGGCTGTGTAATTCCGCAGAGTGGACAGGTGACAGCGATGAAGCCGTCTGCTGTGATTACCCGGAAGCAATGCTGTCCCCCTGGGCAACCCTGTTCCCAGTTTCCCTAGTCTCGGCAGGACAATGTCCTTGCCTGCTACCTCCGGGCCTGGGGACCCAAATCTGTGACCCTCCAACTGTCCACTTGGTGCTCAGCAGATCGCCAAGCCTTCAGTGTCTAATGAGACTTCTGACCCCATTCCCCCCGTGCTGCTCCTGCTCCATTCCTCCCATCCTAGTTGCAGCACCTCCACACACCCAGTAGTTTGGACTCAGAACTCTACGGTCCACTATCCCTTCACTTGCTCCACTGCCATGAAACGCATCAGCCTCAGCTCCAGTGTCTCTGCCAAGGGCAGCAGAGCCAAGCCCGGCGCCCAGGCCCCGCCCAGGAAGCCCCGCCCTGCCTGCGCTCAGCCCTTCTCAGCCACAGCCCCCCTCACCCTGAAGCACAGTCTGAAGCCCAACAACACGAAGAATGCAACCCTAACTTCTCTGGGGGCCCCAAGGCGGACCCCTCCAGTCTCAGACACCACAGCCACGCCTGCAGTCTTTCCGTCCCTCTATATGTCAAGGACGTTCCCACTTGGGGATGCTTACTCTCCTGTTCCCTGTATCTTCCCTGACCAGCTCCAGTCCATCATCCCCATTTCTGCTCCGATGCTGCCTCTGCTGGAGAGAAACTCACTGGAGGCCACCGAACAGCTCAGTTCCTCTGACACCTCATCCACAGCAGCTCTCCACTAGGCACTCGATGCTCAGAGTACTTATCGTCTCGAACTGTCTTTTCATTTGCTCACTTGTTTCTTTACCCTTTTCTCCAACCAGAAACATCATCTGACATGTTCACCACAAACCCTAACACTTAAAAACAGCTGCCCTGCCCGATTTGATAGTGCACCCCTGTAATCCCAGCACTTTGGGAGGCTTAGGTAGGAGGATCTCAAGTTTAAACCCAGTCTGGGCTGCTTAGCAACTTAGCAAGACCCTGTCTCAAAATTTTAAAAAAGGACTGAGGACTTGCAAGTACAAGGTCCTAAGTCTTAGTCCCAGTAGAAAAAAAAAAAAGGACTGGGGATATAGCTCAGTGCAAAGGCTTTGGTTTCATTCCCTAGCACTGCCAAAAAACAAACCACAAAAACAAATAGCACATAGTAACCCTTCAATAAATGAACAGGATGAACAAAATGAGAAAGATCATGTGTATGAAGAACAACGAGAAGGCAAGGAACTAATTAAACCTGAATTATGAGGAGGAAGAATCTAATCACCGGCTTCAAATGTTTCAGGGGAGAGAGAGGCACAGAAAGAAGTTACATTTCCTCTGCTTTCTAAGGGACAGACTGAGGTCAACAGTGACGTGTCAGGCGACATATCAAGGGGCTGTTATGAAAAATACTTCCTGACAAGTGCAGGGTCTCAAAATGGCAACGAGCCTCAGCCAAAGCCTGCCTCTTGCTTGAAATGCTTGGGCAGAGAGAGGCTGGATCATCACTTATACGAAATAAACCAAACTTCAGAGCCTAGGACGGGATCCCAGCCCAGCCACTCTTTCCCTTGCTAGATCTTGGCTGCAGGTTTTACAAACGAGAAGATGAGGGCTGGAGCTGGAGCTCCATGTGCGAGGCCTCGGGTTCCACCGCCGGCACAGGGAGATATCCTCTGACGGAAGCGTCGGAGCCCCTTTCAACCCCCATACCCAAGGTTCAAAACTCCTATCGTCTACAGCGTGAAGAGCAGGTGCAAGGCCCCATGGCTGTTGTTCACTGCTGTATCCCTGGGACTGGACCACGGCAGGAGCTCGGCCGAGAGCCGATGAGCGAGCATTACGATGCGGGGGGCGTCAGGACGAGCTGTCTGTCGACCAATCCGCCAGGTCGTCCTACGCGCGGCAGCGACTGTGCGCCCCCGAGGCCTGCGGCCGCATCCTAGGCTCAGGAGACCCTCGCTCGGGTCCCGCAGGGCTCGCAGGCCCAACTCACTGCTCGGGCAGCTTCCGGGACGGTGAGTGGCCAGACCTCCGCCGCGACAATGCTCATCCCTAGGCCTCCCGGGACTGGACAAGGTCGGGACAGGGGCGGGAGGAGGCGAATTCGGGAGGAGCACCCTAAGACTTCCAAGCACCGGGTCCTGGAAGACAGGCTCACCTCAGGAAGGGACTTGCCGCAGCTGAGACTATAAATCTTCACCTCGTTGAGGCTGGAGACCTGCATGGTGGCGCGGAGAAGAGGCGATCTTGGTTCCAACAGCAACTCTTCTCCCACCTGTGGGACCGCAGCGTCTAAGGCCCGGGAGTTCACAGCATGCGCGACCAGCGCGGGGTGATGACATTCAGCTTCCGGTGTGTTCATGACGTACTTCCGCGCGCCGGAAGTCTCACGCGACCCCGGAAGAGGGGGCGGCCGGGAGATCGGGAGGCAGGCGACGGTGTTACGGTGGGAGTCAGGCCTTGCAGCGGGATCTGTTGGCAATGTTGATGTTCCTAAGTCCAGATTCCGCTCCCCTCCCTCTCAGCATCCCCAGCAGCAGGGAGTGGCTCTCGATTGCTGCCCAGGCCGAGATGTCGCGGTCCCGGGCAGGGGCGGGGCGGGCCAATGATAGATCTCTGGGAATCGTGGGGTCCCAGGGAGAATTCTGAGAAGTGGGGTTTTGTTTTGTTTTTTTAATTTTAATTTTTTGTGCTGCGGATTGATGGCAGTAGCTTCAAACTCAGGTACATCCCAAGCCATTTTTAAATTTTATTTTTTTATTTTTATTTTTGGTACCGGGGATCGAACTCAGGACCTTGCGCTTGCGAGGCAGGCGGCGGCACCCCTGAGCTACATTTCCAGCCCAGCCCTTTCTTATTTTGAGACAGTCTCGCTAGGAGTTACCCTGGCTGGGCTAGATCTTGGGATCCTCGTGCCTTCGCTCTCACAGTGCTGGGATTGCAGGATTGCACCACCACTCTAGGATGGAAAGTGTATTGTTATTATTCCCCCTCGTGTCTAGCCTCGCGTTAGAAATAAATGCTCTTAAGAGCTGACATATTACAATGTGGTTTACGTCTGCCCTTGACATTGATCTGTTAAGGGAAATAAAAGCGAGCATGGTGATGCTGTAATCCCAGTACTGAGGCCGAGGCAGGAGGATTGCAAATTCATGCCCAACCTGGGCGGGTTAGTGAGACTGTCAAAAATTTTATAAGAACTGGGTATTTCTCTTTTTTTTCGGTTTTTTGAGACAGGGTCTCACTATGTAGTTGGGACTGACCTGGAACTTACTATAGCTCAGGCTGATCTCGAACTCACAGCGATCCTCCTGCCTCAGCCTCCCAAGTGCTGGGATTGCAGGCGTGCGCCACCACGGCTGGCAAGAATTGGGTATTATGGTGTGAAGGCCCTGAGATCAATTCCCAGTGCACCAAAAACAAATAAGCTGTATAATATAACAACTTCCCGTGTTCTGAGGAGTTGTGTAACCATCACCACAAACACTTTTAGGGCATTTTCATTATTCCCCCCCTGTTAGCTATCACTGTACATCCTCACTGGAGCCGGAGACAAGCACTAATCTACTTTGAGTTCATTTTTTGGTTTTTTTTGTTTGTTTGTTTTTGTTTTTTTGGTACCGGGGATTGAACTTGGGTTCTTGTGCTTGCAAGGCAGGCCACCCAACCACTGAGCTAAATCCCCGGCCCCTTGAGTTCATTTTTTATGTTTGGTTTTCAAGTGTCTTGCTTTATATTTAATATTAAGCATCATTAAGTCAAATGTGTTTTCCTTATACAAGGGCTGAAATTACCCTTGTTCAATTAGACTGATCTCCCAGGTCTGTAAATGCAAAACTATAACGGGTCATTTTGAGAAACGTGCTTTACTCCGTTAGTGTGTGGTAGGGTAAAAGACTTCTGGCCTGAGATTTTGTTGTTATGACTCTGCACATGAACACACGCAACTGTGTGTACACAGGATTGAACCCAGGCTTTTCACACTGAACTACATCCCCAGCCCTTTTTTATTTTTTATGTTGAGACAGGTTCTGGCTAGGTCGATAAATTGCCCAGGCTGGGCTTGTACTAACCATCCTCCTGCCTCAGCCTCCCAGAGTGCTGGTGCTACAGGTGTGTGCCACCATGCCCACCTAGTATCAGCTTTTTAAATGAGGCAGCCAAATAGAAAGCATTTGCATTCCAGAATATACAGGATGTTTTTAAAGAAATCTTTATTTCTGTTATGCAAGACTATTATAAAAGTCCATTGGACCGATTACCACCTACAGTAGTGCTGTTAAGCCTTTGGGCCACATAGGAGATTCTGGGTGCATCTCCTTCTGACTTTGCCATTTAAGGGCCGGAGACCACTTTGCTTCACCATCCTGTTTTTCACCAACCTCAGATTTCCCTGCAGCTTCCTTAGCATCAGCAGCATCATCTGGCTTTGAACCTGCAATGCCCGCCACCCCCGCAAAACATCTGCTCAATCTTTGCTCATTTTCTTAAGCTTCACTGTATAAACACTGCCACAGCACTTCCGTCCTTTTTCCTGATTTTTTTTTTTTTTTTTGAGATGGTCTCGCTATGTAGTCTAGGTTGGACTTGAACTCATGGTGATCCTCCTGCCTCAGCCTCCCAAGTGCTGGGATCACAGATGTGCGCCACTACTCCTAGCTCCTGGTATACCTTTATTACCAACCCTGATGGCTATGTAATACATCCTGTGATGACTGATGTGATGTGTGTAAGTCCCAGTGCCCCCAGGACCAACAGAATTACTGTGCCGCAAACATGTGCTAGTAAAAATAAATAAATACTAGAACATCCTGCAAGAGCGATGATAACTGGAGTGTGGCCCTCTGTGCTTGGCAGGTTCTTATGGGCACTGACTCACCTAAAGGCCAATACAAACATCGCTGTTTAAAAGAGCCTGCGTACTCAGAAGGTTGAAGCAAAAGTATTGTATGTTCAAGGCCGACCTAGCCAACTTAGTAAGACCTTGACTCAAAAAATAAAAAGGGTTGGGGATGTGGCTCAGTGTGAGGCCTCGGGTTCAATCCGCAGTACTGCTAAATAAGTAAATGTTTCTAAGCAAAATACAAATAAAGAGAAGAGCCCATAAATCTGCAGTTGCTGGCTGGAGGGTTTGACCTGTCTCACTCTGGGCTCCTGCTGAGGACCGAGCTGAGCTGCAGGGTGTGGGTGTGTCTGCTATCAGCACCAATTCAAAAGACAAGTGCTGGGCAGCAGCAGTGATGCACGCCTGTAATCCCAGCGCCTGGGAAGCTGAGGCAGGAGGATCCTTATGAATTTGAGCCCAGCCTGGGCTACATAGTAAGACTTGGGCTCAAAAAAGAAAAGCTGGCGGTGTAGCCTATCCCCAGCACCAAACAAGGAGGGAGAGGAGAGGAGAACCCGTGAGATGGTGCTGCTCCCCTGCATGGAACCCACTTTCTTCCTGGTCCTGCAGACCGTGCACCACCTCATTGACCTCCTGACCCACAGCCGCTGTGGACTTGCTCTTTCTGCCCCGGGGCTTCTACACACACCGTTCTTGCTGTCCAGCACGCCCTGGCCCAGCTTCTCCATGCCTGGACGCTTCATGCAACCTCCAATCCCAGCCAAACGCCACCCTGAGAAATCTCAGACCCAGAGTGGCACCTCCCACGGTGCCCATTTACTTTACTGTCTTCCTTTCAAATGATCTTTCTCTTTGACACTTCGACATTCTTTTCATTTTGCAGCACAGGGCCTTTGATCTGAGCTACATCCTCAGGGCCTTTTATTTTTATTTAAGACGGTCTCACTAAGTCACTAAGGTGGCCAGGCTGGACTCAAACTTGGGATCCTCCTGCTTCAGCCTCCCAGAGTGCAGGGATGCTAGACATGTACCACGGCCCCCAGTTTAACACTTCTGCCCTCTCATCCTGACTCCTCTATGCTCGAGGCCGCTGGAGAACAGGTGTGTTATCCACCGGACTGGTGGTGCAATTCTCAGGGCGGAGCAAGGTATACTATCCAAGGGCTCATCAAGGATTTGGTGCTGTCCTTCTCCTCCTCCTCAGGCCCTGTTCAGCTGTCTGCTGTGTCTGCTTTCCACACAGACACCAAGCCCATCTGCCCCTCCCTCCCTGAATGTCACTTAGGTTTGTGCAGAAACTGCCAAGATTTCCATATTGTAAAAATACTAGGGATTGGATGTGGGGGTGCGCGCCTGTAGTCCTAGCACTGTAGAGGCTGAGGCAGGAGGACCACAAGTTTGAGCCTATGCATTGCCACCCCACTTTTCCCTGTATTTGTGACCACCTTGATGGTGGCTCCTCTGGTGACCTTGAGAATCAAAGCCACAGGCCACCATGGCGGGCTCTTTCATGCTTAATTGTAACCTGTTTTGCTGAGTCCCAACATGCGGAAGGAGGGAACAGGGAGCTTTCTCCGATGGAGCCAAACTGTGGTCCCTTGTTGTACTTATATAGCAGCAGCGTGCCTCTGACTGTGCAAATTTGAGGCTGTTGATTTGATTGATGTTGTTGATGCTGCTAATTCCAGCCTGTGATTGGTCCAGATTTGAACCTGCTGATTGTCCCAAACTTGAGTCTCCTGATTGGTTCAAATGGATCTAATTCAGGCCTTTCAATTCTGCTCTTGGCAGAATCCTTCCTGATTCTGGCTTCCTAATTGGTCCAAATCAATTCCACTGCTCGGCGGCTGACAGCAGGAAGGGACACCTTACCTGGAAGACCTGAAGCCCAAAGAGGAGCCCTGGAGCTGCCTGGGGGATCCTACAGAAAAGCTTTCTTGTTGGGTTTTTTGTTTGGGGGGCAAGGACTCTGCACGAAGCTACACCTCCAATCTTGCCCTTGGATAGTGATTGTTAAACTGCTCTGTTCCCCCACCCACAGGCGGCTCCCTGCATCGGCACCCAGCGGTCTTGCTGTCGGCTCTGCCCTGCAGCCTCACATCCTCCTGAGCTTGGCGAGGGGCCCAGTGGCCAAAGGAAGGGACCGCGGGGCGGAGGGCCTGTGCCGCATCCATCCACGTGGTAGGTGCCGCAGCCAGCCTAGGGGGCAGCGTGAATCTGCCCGCGAGGATGAAGGGGCTCAGAAAGCAGGGCCCTTTGCAGAAGGAGCAGCACGGCAGGAACTAGTGGAGCTGAAGCAGGAGCTTCCAACGCCAGCTCGGGCTCAGGCCTGGCCATAGAGAGGCCAGTGGGGAGCAGGGGCCGAAGGAGGAAGCAGGGGCCTGTGTGGGAGGACAGGGACAGTGCAGAGAGGCAGGCAGGAGGGCGGGAGCCACAGCAGGCTGTGGAGGGAGAGTGACGCTGGAATCCAGATGTGAGGACTGGAGCTGTTTCAGGTGGTGAGAGGCCCACGGTATGGCTGCAGGGCGGGCGCTGACAGGAAGAGCAGGAAGGTGGCGTCGATGCTCTCCATGAGATGAGGGAAATCCCGTGCAGGAGGCGGAGCCCCAGCTGCCCTAGCACAGGAGTGATGTGTGACGGTACTTCGTCCGTCCGTCCGTCCATCCATCCATTAATTCATCCAGGCAGCACTTCCTGTTCATTACCTCCAGCCCTGGCAAACCAGGCAGTCACAGACCCCCCTGATTACTGCTGTGTCAACACCAAGCCCCTGCCATCACGCACACACTGGTGATTTCCTCTCATCCCTTCCTAGCAGCGACAGAGGGGTCTGCAGGAGGGCACAGTCCTGTGGCGTAGGGGCTTCTACCGGGCATAAAGCCAGTAGCTTTGCTAAGATGGGGCTGCCAGACATTGTGGCACATGCCTGTCGTCCCAACAGTCAGGAGGCTGAAACAGGAGGATTGCTGTGAGTTCAAGGCCAGCCTGGACTCTGTAGCAAGATCCTGTCTCAAAAAATAAAGACAAAAGATTCCCTGAATCGTCGTGCCACTCTCCAAATGGAGGCACCTGGAAAATGATGCTAAAAAAGAGAAACGACAGTAGTCATCTTTATGTCAGCCCCTCTTATCAATGTGTCCTTCACCGAGTCCACGTCCGAGGAGGGAAAGGAGTTCGCTCACATTGGCACAGAAGTTCCTGGTGATTGTGGCTGTTCAGAAAAGGATCTTGGACCGGGTGTGGTGGTGCACACCTGTAATTCCAGTACTCAGGAGACAGGAGGATCGCCATGAGTTTGAGGCCAGCCTGGGCTGCACAACGAGACCCTGTCTCAAAAAAAAAAAAAAAAAAAAAAGAGGATCTTGGGGAAAAATTGTTTAGTGGTGTTCTGTGTGCTAAGCTAGCACTCAAGCACTGAGCTACATCCCCAGCCCTTTTCAGTTTGTATATTTGTCTCTTCGTGTGTTTGTGGTACTAGGGATTGAACCTAGGGCCTTTGCACTGAGATACATCCCTCCATTTTTATGTTTCATTTTGAGACAGGATCTGTCCAAATTGCCCAGCCTTAGCTTGAGTTTTTGATCCTCCTGCCTCAGCCTCCCAAAGAGCTGGGATAACGAGCATGTGCCGCCACCCCCCACTTTACTTTTTGTTTAGCCACAGGGTCTCGCTGAGTTGTGAAATTGAACTTTGACCCTCCTTCCTCAGCCTCCTGAGTAGCTGGCATTGCAGGACTGTGCCGCTGTGCCCACCCGGCGTGGAAAAGTCTCCGAGGAATGAGGAGGCTCCCACAGCGTGGGCGGAGGCTGTGGCTGGTGGATGTTCTGGGAAGAGGACAGGGATGACAGGCCCGGCTACATCCTCCCACCCTGTGTTCTCGGCCTCTGCCCAGCCCTCCTCCCACGGCCAGCTGGGCCAACCCACAGTGCAGCCCTTTCCCGAGGGCCCACTCGGGGTGGCACCTGTGCCAGCGCCAAGGACACAGGGCTGATTCAGAAGCAGGATGGGTTGTCCAAGCTGGCTGTGGGTGTGAGGAGGGAACCGGAAGCTGGGCTGGGGACCCAGGGGCAAGGCCCAGCTGCCCACCTGGTGGCTCACTCTCCAGAAACTCGGACTGCGGTACTGGGATCCAGAGAGAGAGGTCAAATCCAGGGGCGGTGGTGTGTACCCGTGATCCCAGCACTCAGGAAGCTGAGGCAGGAGGACCCCGACTTTGAGCCTAGGGTGGGCAACGTATCAACTTAGTGAGACTTTGTCAAAATCAAAAGTAGAAAAGGAGCTTGGGATGGAGCTCAGTGCAAAGGTTCGATCCCCAGTGCTGCAAAAATTAAAAGAGATCAAGGATAGTTTTCGTGGCAGGTCGTGTTCCAGCTGGCTTTGTGTCTCCCCCACCCCATGCTCCCGGCCAGCCTCCTCTCGGGATTTGCGTGACCCACAGTTTCCATATGGTGGGAACCACCTGCTATGCAGCCCTTTCTCTCTTTTCCTTTTTTTGGGTAGCGTGAGCTGAACTCAGAGCCTTTGCACTGAGCTTGGTCCCCAGCCCTTTCTTTTTATTGATTTTTAAAATTTTGTGACAGGGTCTCACTAAGTCACAAAAATGAACAAAGAAAAAAGGAAACAGCCAGTAAAGGATGTGGATAGACATCTGTACCTCTAAAGAAGATACACACAGGGCCAGAATGTTCACAAAAAGCTGGGCAGCGTGGTGCACACCTGGAATTTAGGTCCTTGGGAGGCTGAGGCAGGAGCATTGCAAATCCAAGATCAGCCTGAGAAGTTTATCAAGTTTCCATGCCTCAAAATAAAATGTAAGAGGGGGTCAGGGATTTAGCTCCGTGGTTCCGCTGCCTGCCTCAAAAGCATAAGGTCCCTGGTACATAAGTAAATAAATAAAATGTAAGAAGCTCAGGGATCGAGCCAGTGAAGCCCTGGGTTTAATTCCCAGTCTTTAAAAATGAAAAAAAATTCATAAAAGCATCCTCAACATTATTAGCTATTTTTTTCAAAGTACACAGAAAAACCCCAATCCGATACAATTTCACATGCACTAAGATGGCCACACTGTTGTTTATTTATTTGTTTGTTTTTGTACCAGGGATCAAACTCAGGACCTTGTGCTTGTGAGGCAGGTGCAGTGCCACTGAGCTACATCCCCAGCCCTGTTTAGCTTTTGAGACAGGGCCTGGCTGCACAGATCAGGCTGGCTTTCGACTGACAGTGATCCTCCTGCCTCAGCCTTCTGAGTGCTGGGATCACAGGTGTGCGCCACCACAGACCTGGGCAGACAAATCCTGGCAATTCTCTGATCTGTTTTCGCAAGAAGCAAGCGACGGTGCACAGTGACCCGTCAACTGCAATGCAGACTGTTTGGCTGAAAGAGGGAACAGAGTAAAGAACTCCAGGCCTTTGAAATATAAGCTGCCTTTTCGCCCTTCTTGCTAACATCCTAAAGCTCCGGCTCGGCTCAGAAGTCCTCCACCCCACCAGTGAGGAGCACAGGACCACGCAGCTGGCGAAGGCTTTCAATCCGAATCCAAGTGAAGTCACACTTTGGTGTCCCTGTTTCCCATCGCCCCCAAGTGGCGATGCTTCTGCATGCCGGTGACTGCTATTGTGATTTTTGTGACGTAGCACAATGCATATGGAATAGAGTGCACGGATGTAATGTGCACCAGTCACCCCCAAACCATCTCCCCTCCCCAGGTCCACAGAAAAATCGTCTTCCACAAAACTGGTCCCAGGTACCAAAAGGGTTGAGGGTCGATGGTTTAATACACAGAGGAGGCGGTGCACGCCTGGCATCCCAGCCCTCAGGAGACTGAGGCAGGAGGAGCTCTGAACTCAAGGCCAGCCCCGGTGAGTTCAACACCAGCCTGAGGCCCCGCTTAAAAAAAAAAAAAAAAAAAAAAAAAAAAAAAAAAAAAGAATAAACAGGGAGAGTGAAAAGCAAGGGGCACTTTGCTCTTGCCAGAAATACTCTCCCTTTTCTCACAACAGCCCTGAAGATCGGGCGAACTGCTCCTCTCTGGGAGGAAGCCTGAGCTTGGGAGGTTAATAGCTCATCTGACTGCCTTCCCGACCTGTTCACCCCCACGGGACACTTCTCGGAGAGCACACCCGAGCTGTCCCTGCAGGACACAACATCCCTGGGCCCAGATCCCAGATGGAGAAGGAGCCACAGGTGCCCACCAGCACCCGGGCTCCCCGCCCCTGGAGGGAGCATCCTGGCTGGGCTGTCTGAGGAAATAAAAACCCCGAATACTCCATCGGGGAGTGGCTGGGCAAGACAGGCCTGCTGGGCTGCCTGGTCCTTCCGGTTTGCTGGCCCTGGGGATGTCCTGGCTTGCGCAGCCCTCTCTGCTCCGCGTGCAACCAATGGACGTTCAACCCACACTGGCTTCGCTACCCTTGATGGGCACAGGACACTCGGACTCCAGCCTCAATGCCCAGCCAGTGCCAGCAGCCACCTGCCCTGGTTCTTCATTTTTTAGAACTGGGGGAGTAATATTAAAGCAGAGACCAAGGCACTTAAACTTGCAGCCTTCCCGACCCCTGCCCCCCAGCTCTGGGGCTGGAGCCAGGGCCTTCACACTGAGCCCTTTTTATTTTTTCTTTTGAGACAGAGTCTTGCTATGCAGCCCAGGCTGGCCTTGAACTCACAGCGACTCTCTTGCCTCAGCCTCCTGAATGGTGGGATTCCAGGAATGTACAACCAGGCCTGGTTGATTTCTCTCTATTTTTCTGGGGGTAAATTCTGGTCTCACTTAAAAGAGAACATGAGAGAAAAGCAGAAGTCTGCCCATATCCAAATAATTACATGTGTGGAAACAGCCATCCAGCAGCACCCCCAGCCTGTCCAACAAGGCGTCCTATGTGGGAGACCCACCTTTTTGGCTATGACCAGTTGCTGATAAACCTGGATTACATTTGATAATTTTTAATCTTTAAACAGCAGTCAGCAGCATAATACTGAATTGGTGTATAATAAATCATCTCATTTATGCAAAAAAATCTCTGTCTACAAATATGCATTAAAATTAACAAAGAGAACTTGAATGTTAATCTAACAGCAGTCAGCAGCATAATACTGAATTGGTGTATAATAAATCATCTCATTTATGCAAAAAAAATCTCTGTCTACAAATATGCATTAAAATTAACAAAGAGAACTTGAATGTTAATTGTGGCTGTACACAGGTCATAGAGTCACAGGCATTTTTACTTTCTTCCTTATGCTTTTCTGTTTTCCAAATTATTTTATTTATTTGTTTGTTTATTATTGTTTTGAGGCAGGGTCTCACTGTGTAGTCCAAGATGGCCTTGAACTTGTGGTGATCCTCCTGCCTCAGCCTCCTGAGTGCTGGCATTACAGGTGTGCACCACCATACTTGGCTCCAAAAATCTTGGAAATGAGCATAGAATTGCTTTTACAAGGAGGTAGAAAGGTGAGATGGAAAAATTCAAGTGGCTCCTGCAACAGTAACCATCATTGTACATAAACATATTAACCGATGAACTGAAAATGGAAAATATTTATTTTGAGGAGGAAGATTTGGAAGAAGGTGGGTACTGTAGGTTCTCATCAAGCTGCAGGATTTACTGTCTGACTTTTTGGTTGTGTTGTTTTCCATTCCAGAATCAAACAGGAACTGGCTCGTACCAGGCCAGTTCTCTGCCTCAGTGCATAGAATTGCTTTTACAAGGAGGTAGAAAGGTGAGATGGAAAAATTCAAGTGGCTCCTGCAAGAGTAAACATCATTGTACATAAACATATTAACCGATGAACTGAAAATGGAAAATATTTATTTTGAGGAGGAAGATTTGGAAGAAGGTGGGTACTGTAGGTTCTCATCAAGCTGCAAGATTTACTGTCTGACTTTTTGGTTGTGTTGTTTTCCATTCCAGAATCAAACAGGAAATGGCTCGTACCAGGCCAGTTCTCTGCCTCACAGCTACACCCTGTGTGTCTGGCTCTTGTCTCACGAAACTGGTTAGAGCAAACCGACTTTATAGAGGGGAAGCTGCCGTAAGCAAAGCCTGAGATATTTCTGCACGTGTCACCCACCACCTGTGATCCCAGCACCCGCCAGGCTGAGGCAAGAGGGTCGCCAGGAGGTCAAGCCCAGCCTGGACTACATAGCAAGACTCTGCCACAAACAACAAACAAAAATTAAAATAAAAAACATGTTGCCCAATCTCCAAGAAGTCAGATGGACGGCTCTGCTCTGAGGGGAAGGGCCAGCCCAGATCGCTGCACAGACGGCTTGCTGGGGGCAGCAAGAGGGACCCAAGCTGGGGTCCCTCTGGGCTCTGGGATCCGGCTGCCCCTGGCCCCACCTTTGCCCTTCTTCGTCCCTGTCGCTCCTGCCCCGCCTGGTCCCTGAGCCTCCCGCACGGCCGGTTTCCCGGGGTTTCAAGTGTCCTCCCTCGGGCGGTGTCGCCAGGGCTGACTAACGTGACTTTGGGAGGTGAACCTGCGTTCAGCTCTGGGTCAAGGTCACCCAGCCCCAACTGGAGCCCCCCTCCCCACGGTTCGGTCCGGGCTTCCGGTGGTCAGGACACAGATGCAAGCACTGGTCACCGCAGGCCCCCCACAGTGGCCCCTCGGGAGCAGAACTCGAACCTTATCCTGTGCTCCCCTTGCACAGCAGCCCAAGGGGCCTGGTGCTTTTTCATTTGGCAGCCCCTGGGATCAGACCCAGGGCCCTCACACTGAGCTGCACCCCAGCCTTTTTTATTTTGAGGCAGGGTCTTGCTAAGTCATTAAGTTGCCCACGCTGGGCTTGAACTTGTGACCCTCCTGCCTCAGCCTCCCAGGGGACCTGGATGACCGCTGTGCACCATCCTGCCTGGCCTCGGCAGGGTTTTTTGTTGTATTTCGAACACTTACAGGTTAGCTTCGGGGTTTTCCCTGGTGATTTCAGCAAGACATGAACAGACACAGCCATTCAACCAACACCTCGACTTGTTTTTTTGTTTTTTGGGTTTTTTTGGCAGTACTTTGCTAGTGAGCCAGGAGCAGTGCCACAGAACTAAATCTCCAGCCCTCGATTTGTATTTCTTTATTGGTACTGGTGACTGAACCCTAAAAATCTTAATGTAGCCCTCACCGGCACATTTGAAATTGTGCACCTTTGGTTTCGCGCTGAAGACCGAGCTAGGGCACTGCCACGCGGGGTGAGTTCTCCGACCG